AAGGGACCCAATTGCCCTTGCCTATCCTCCCAGCAGTGTTCCTGGGCAGGACAGCAGTACTGAAGTTAGTCCCACCATCCTGTTTCTCTTGCCCATTCACATTGGAGGGCCCAAGCCATCCTGGTGGGATAGAGCAGGAGTGGGGTTGTGGGTAAAGGCTCATGAGTGGGCCTCCTATTCCACAGAGGAAGTGTGGGAGGAGCTCCAGACAGGTTTTCTGAAAGCTCATTATGCAAATTGTCCGGTTTTTTTTTTGAGACAGAGTTTTACTTTGTCACCCTTGGTACCGAGTGGTGTGATATCATGGCTCACAGCAACCTCATATTCTTGGGCTCAAGCAATCCTCTTGCCTCGGCCTCCTGAGTAGCTAGGTCTACGGGCTCCCGCCACATGCCTGGCTAGTTTTTAGAGATGAGGTCTCTTGCTCTTGCTTAGGCTGGTCTCAAACTCCTGAGCTCAAGCAATCCACCCACCTTGGCCTCCCAGAGTGCTAGGATTACAGGCATGAGCCACCACTACCAGTCTTCAAACTATTCTATTTTTGTATATGCTTAAAGTTTTTCATAATAAAAAGTTTAATTGAAAAAATCAACTTACATATTATGCTCTAAAGTAGACAATTAGAGCTATGGTTTATTACATAAATACTGTTCCTCAGGCTTTTTGTTCTTTTTTGTTTTTTTGTTTTTGTTTTTTTTCTCAAGCTGTCGCCCTGGGTAGAGTGTCATGGCATCATAGCTCACAGCAGCCTCCAACTCCGGCTCAAGTGATCCTCTTGCCTCAGTTTTTCTACTATAGTAGAAAGGGGGTCTCACTTTTTGTTCAGGCTGGTCTCAAACTCATGAGCTTAAGCAATCCACCCACCTCAGCCTCCCAGAGTGCTAGACTTTAGGCTTGTTTATTGTCTTTTTATTATTCTTCCTTACAGAGTGGAGGATATGTTCTTGGCTTTAAAATAGATCCTCTGGAAAAACTACAAGAATCAGTTAAGGAAATCAATTCACTTCACAAAGTCTATTCTGCTAGTCCTATATTTGGAGTCGATTATGAGATGGAAGAAAAGGTAATTTGTTGAATGTGTGAAATACACTGTTTGCTGGGTTGCTTTTATACAACTTAGAAAATTCAGATAACGGCTCGGCGCCTATAG